ACCCTACAACTCAAAAAAGGGATTAGACCTGGCCAGCCCATTAAGATGGCCTGCTTTCACCAACAAAGCTAGAAAATGCATCGAAACTTCAGTCTCATTGTAGAACCTTAAATACTTTTAAACCAAAGGGAAAAGGTCTACCCTTTGGCTCTCAGTGTCCAGAGGACCAGCGTCTGCTCTATTTTGGAAGACCATCTCGATCAGTCAGTAGGTACCACTGAGGGAGGAAATAAGACTTCAGCTAATGCAGGGGCTTCAAGGCAAACTGACCAAGCCTGGATACCAGCATCACCCATTTACTCTCTTCATAACTTTGGCTGATAATTTAATATCCTTAAATCATATCCTTGCCTGCATGGTGGGGATCATGGATCTCACTTGGAGAAATGCATTAATATGTTGATTCCTTCTGTTCTTCCTTGAGCGTCAATTCCATGCCCTAAGACAAATGAAAGGGGTATGTGCCACAGGACTCACACTGGATAGTTCCCTATTATTCGTTATACAGGGCCATTTACAACAGGTAAGTTATAGCCACAAGAGGCTAAGCTGCTTATAAGATGTTCCCATCCCTGGAAATGGTATAGGAATGTGGAGAAAGGAAAGATTATGAAGTAGTTTCCACTGGGGGAAAAATGTTCTTTGAACATTCTGTGTCCTACCTCCTTATCTAACACAAGCTCTAAAATGTCTCCATACTTGAGGCCAGTGTTTCCCAAAGAGTGAGATCAGTCCCTTGAGAAAACCCCTGAAACAGTGTTGTGTCTACGTAGGATTTGCAAGCTCAGCATAATGCATCTCCACCTTGGCAGCTCAGAAAGTATGTCAACATCGCCCCTCCAAGACGCTCTGTATTAAAGATGTTTCACTGGATCAATCCAGGGTTTCCCAAGCTTGTTTGACCATCTCTTCATCCCCTCTGTTAATAGCACACAGCCTTCCCAAAGTTGACCCTGGCTTTCACCGGTCTCCAGTCTGGGTCCCAACTGTACAGTCGAGAGCCCCCTACAGACCCATTCACCATGTAGGTTAAAACTTTCACAGGTATTGGTCCCTGACCATACCTCTGGTTTTTAACTGTTTTGAGATAATTCACACAACACCCAATTCACTCTTTTGAAGTATACATTTCAAAAGATTTTCAGTAAATGTGCCGAACTGTAGACCCACCACCACAATCAATTTTAGAACATTTTCATCCCCTCCCTAAAAAAATACCCACATGTAACCACTCCCCATCTCACCTCTAACCTCAAGCCATAGGCAAACACTAACATGCTTTCTCTCTAGATGAACATTTCATGTAAACGGAATCCCAGGATATGTGGTCTTCTGCGTCTGGCCTCTTTTGCTTAGCAGGTTTTTAAAGTTGCATCTCTGTGGTAGCATGTAGCATGACTCTTCCTTTTTATGGCCAAATGTTTCACTGTATGAATTGACCACTTTTTATCCATTCATCAGCTGATGGATATTTAGATTGTTTTCACCTTTTGACTTTTATGAGGAATGCTATAATGAACATTTTGCATAGAAGCTTTTATGTGAACATATTGTCATTTCTCTTGGGTAATTATCTAATTGTGGATTTGCTGGGTCATGCCGTAATTGTGTTTAACCTATTGAAAACTGTCAGACTTTCCTAAAGCGGCTGCACATTGTACATTCCCACTAGCAGCACATGATTCTAATTCCTCTACATCCTCTCCAACACTTGTCATTTGGTGTTTTTCAAGACCCAGTTTAATCATACAGTTTTCTTGGACCATCTGCAATAGTCAAGACTCCAAACTCAATTCAAATGACCCATGCATGGCTTTTACATACACTTTCTGCTGTTACAAGTGTTGTGGCCTATGTTTTCTCTCTCCAACCAGACTATGTGCTGCAGAGTTGGGGAAAGTTAAGTTTTTTAGACTGGAAGAGCAGGCATACTGGATCTTTGGGAGAAAGGGGTAGTAGTAAGCAGTGGAGGTCAGTCCCCTTCTCACAGAGAATTAGAAGTTCTCATGCAGTGGCCAGAACTTCATGAATGTGAGGTTTGACAGGATTCATCTTTTTCTTCACTGCAAATCTCCATTTACTCTCAAGTCCAGCCCTAGTGACTTCAATAGGGATGGGGACAGTGACCAGACATTGGATATCCTGGTGCCTCCACCTTTTTCCTCCAGCACAGCACCCTGTGGGAGCTCTCAGGATGGGGACGATGGCTTGCATTTATTCCTTTGAGCTGTGACAGGCTCCCCAACCCACTCAGAGCATCACGAGCCCCTGATGTGAATAATATCAGGAAAGAAAAATAATTTCTTCAGTGAACCAAGAAAACGACTTGCTGAATCTAAGGCCAACTAAGTCACAGTCTCCCCAAGACTAGAAGTGATTAACTTTGGTTTCTTATACCTTTCATTTTTCCCAGCTGCTAGAGGCTCAGATTCAAAGCACATTGTTCAATAGCATAATTATTTCAACTACTACTGATGCATCAGGAAGAGCACAGTCGGCAAGTATTGTTGAGTATGTTCTAGCCTCTAGAATTAACAGAGCAGGTCTCTACTGCAAATATAACAACAATCCTCCCTTCCCTGCAGCTGACCAGTAGGCCCCCTCTTTCCCTCCACAGAAAAGATTCTGCTGGGACTTCCAATGGGTCTCTCAGATCAGTAACAGAAACCCTAAGCAGCTGACACCACCATATTCAAAAATAGCTCTCTCCTATGACCCCACGTGCTGGTCTTCTACTTCTAGTGTAAGCTCATGAGCAAAAATTGCAGAAGAACTTCAGCAAAATTATTTGGCTATACCTTAGGACTCAGTGGGTACAAGGAGTATAAAACTTAAAGCCCTTCAGGAAGCAATTCCTCATCCAACTGTAACCTCCAAGCCTCTTAATTGCCAAATTCATAACCCTAGGGCAAGGTTTTATTACCATCACCCTGAACAGTCACATCCCCTTCTCATGGTTGTGAACAAGGACCCCGACAAATGAAATAGCCCAAGTATAGAAGAACCATGAACCCAGCTTCAAGCATGGAAGGAAAGAATGGAGGCATCTAGGCAAGAGGATCTATGGTGTGGATAAAGCTGGAGGCTAGGGGACTCTAAAAGCTATCGGGGCACCTCAAGAAGTCTTTGGTAAAGAACAACAACTTCTGATACAACTAAGCACAAGTGGCTAAGAGGAGGAGACAAAAAATATTTATCAGTGACCTCCATCCAAAGAGAAGTCAAAGAGCTACTAAAACTTTTAGCATAGTAGGAAGTCACAAGTAACCCACACTCACCTTGTTTTATAGCCACAAAAAAAAACCATCCTCCGAAGGAGAAAGATAGCTGAAGGCTCAGCTTAAGGGAGTCTCCCAAGGCCTCGAAGCCTGTCCAGACCCCAAATCTCTGTCCACTGTGGCATACACTTGACCTCCCACAGTAATACATCAACAGGGCTATGTACTAAAACATATGAAAACCCATTCTTCTCTCCACATGGCCTTACATTGAACCATGCTTTCAGTTAGGTTTGTAGTAAGTTATTGAGCTAAGTAATTTCTGGCCAAGCCCTGAAGTAGATTTATACAGTACATGGTTTTTCTTATGGCAATAGAGATGTCAAAGGTTGAGACTATTTTAGTGCCCCCCCTACTCTCCTACTACATTTAGGAGAAATAAAATGGTTATGGATCATTCTGTTTGTTAAACTGCTCAGTTCTCCCATCATTACTTATTTCAAACGTAGTATAGATCTATAAGGAAGCAGAACTTTTTATATACTGAACTCTGCAACCAGCAATAACACACTAAATCTGTAAACAAGCCTAGGGAAGCAGTCTTCCTTCTTGGAAACTTTCATTGGGCTGATAATTATACTCTGAAATCCACTGAAGCACAGATCATCTGAAATGGGATTCTCTTGCTCACTCAAGTAGCCTAAGCAGCCCTTCTCCCCATGAAGGACTTTCCTACATTTGCAGCTAGCTCCTTACAGAGTGTTCTGTAGAGATGGCAAGAAAGATGGCTGAAAAGATCCAGAATGTTAGTGTTAACAGGAACACGCATTTCCACCAAAACTTTGATGAAACTTTCTTTCCCTACCTTCTGCCTCAATAGCTCAAGACCACCCATGTCGTAATTAGTTTTAGTTGTCAACTTGGCTAGGCCAGGGTACCCAGGCATTTGGTTAAACACTGGTGAAGACATTTTCTTAGATGATATTAACATTTCAAATCAGTAGACTTTGTTTACCATTTGTTTACCATTACCCCTCATAATGTTGGTAGACCTCAACCTATCAGAAGAAGGCTTTACTCCAAGATAGAATTAGGACACCAGACTGCCTTCAGACTTGAAATACTTCAACTCTTCCATGGGTTTCCAGCCTACCAGCCTATCCTGCAGGTTTTGGATTTCCCAAGTCTCCACAATTATGTGAGACTATTCTTAACACACACACACACACACACACACACACACACACCTGGTTTACTGGTTCTGTTTCCCTGCAGAACCCTAATATAATCACCTCTCCCACTAGAAACTCTAACACCAAACAAAAAAACTCCAACCCACTATGCACAACTACTACTTTGAAATTCCTATTTCAAATGCTTGGTATGTAAAGAAGCTGTGGAGGAGTCCTGGTTCCTTCAAAGGGAGTCTGCAGTGGCATCTGCAAAATGAAGGGTGATGTTAGAAAATGAAGGAGGGGAGAAAAGAGCCAAAAGGAAGCCAAGGAGAGGGGAGATCTAAGGCATACATTTATTTCATTGCTCACAAAGCTATCGAGGTCTTGGGAGCCACTGTTCTTCCAGAGTAGGTTCATGTTCCCAAGAATAAGATGAAGACATGAGTAAATGAAGAAAGAGAGCCTGCACTGGTTTGGTTTCCAATACTTTTACTAAATCCCAGGAGCACCGCCTGACTGCTGGGCAAAAGTAGCCACGGAAGGTAGAAACTTCTCTTCCTACCAGAAAGACTACCCAGAAGGACTCCTGGGCTGAGGTCATTCTTACCTGGCCATCTGCTTGTAGGCTTCTTCTGCCACAGCAAAGATGTGGGGGTCCATGTCTCCCATGTTTTGGCCGCTGTAGGCATAGATGACATCTTGACCATAGATTGGCAACTGTTCATAAGGATTAATGGCAACAAGCACGATACCTGCAAAGAGACAACGCAGTCAGATTCTGACAGCAAGACAGTCACCTGACATCCACTTTCAAAGACCCTTGTTCATATCCAAACATGAGAAATATAACCAATCACAACTAAATCAGGATGTGTCTGTGTGTTGACCAGGCACTGTGCCAGACCCTGGTGAAGGCTGGGCCTCCACATGCCTAAGCACATGGAATAAGCACATGTACATGCACACACATGTACACTAATGCTCAAATTGAACTCCTGAAATACATAAAAACATTGCACTACCAGAGAGAAGAGGATGGTTAATTCTGTCAATAGGTGTTAGGCTTTATTTTTTTAATATTTTTTTAATGTTTTTTTTTTCCTTCTTCTGGAGGAAGAGCAGAGAGGGAGGGAGACACAGAGCCCAAAACAGGCTCCAGGCTCTGAGCTGTCAGCACAGAGCGTAACACAGGGCTCAAACCCACAAAACAAGAGATTGTGACCTGAGCCAAAGTGAGAAACTTAACCAGTTGAGCCACCCAGGTGCTTTAACAGGTGTTAGGCTTTAAAAGCCATCTCGGAGTTGAAATCTAGGAAACAACTTTCTTCTGTGTATGGGTTATCTTAACTGAACACAAACAAATTGTGGTCACTTAACATGATTGGTTTACATATCTTAAGGTCAAATCTTGACTCAGCCAGTTATGAACTGTGTGATTCTGGCAAATTAACCTCTAAGTGCCTCAGTTTCCTGGACTATAATATTGGGAACAGTAATTACCTTTACTTTACTGTCCTGAGGATAATGATTAGGATAACTTATACCAGCATCTTGCATAGTAAGCACTGTGTGTTAGGTTTTTATTAGCTTACATCACATCATGTATTTTCTTTCTTTTTACTTTTTTTTTTTTAACTTGCATCCCCACACATATACAACGATGGACTCAATAAATGCATATTTCAGGAAGAGTCAGCGAATCCTCTAACATTCCAGATCTTTTATGGAAGGGCACATAATATTTGAGAATGTAGAAAGAAAAAAAATTCTATCATCTTCAAGAGAAATGCATGCCCTTTTCATTCCCAAAAGAGCACATTCTGGATATCAAAAGAACCACTGACAAGGGCACAAAAATTTAAGCTTTTCCAGGCTTGGGGAGAAGAGGAAAGACAGGAATGGAAAAATTATTGCCAAGCTGGGAGATCTCCTCCATTGTGCTCCCCTCTGGTGTTTGAAAAGGAACACAAGTCAAGAAAATGAGAAGACAAACTAGAGAAGGAAAAAAAATATTTGCAAAAAACAAAACAAAAAAACAAAAACAACCCATATCTGATAAAGGACTAGTACCCAAAATATATAAGAAGAACTCTTCATGCTCAATAAGGAAATGAACCACCTGATTGAAAAGTGGGCAGAAGATATAGAAATCGGCACCTCACCTAAGACACAGATGGAAAATAAGCCTCTAAAAAGATATTCCACATCATCTGTCAGTAGGGAAATGCAAATGAAATACCAAAAAGACACCACTATACATATAGAATGGCTAAAATCCAGAGCACAGACAACACCAAATGCTAAGCAAGGATGTGGAGCAATGGAAACTCTTCTTCATTGCTGTTCAAATGCAAAGTGGTACAGCCACTTTGGCGGTCTCTTATGAAACATACTCTTACCGTAGGATTCAGCATTCACACTCCTTGGTATTTATCCAAAGGAGTTGACAACACATCCACGCCAACACCTGGCATGTGGATGTTCATGGCAGCTTTGACAACTGACAAAATTTAGAAGCAGCTAAGATGTCCTTCAGTAAGTGAATGAATCAACTGTGATACATACAGACCATGGACTCTTAGTGCTATAAAAAGTGATTTATCAAAGTATGAAAAGACATGGATGGAGCTCAAATGAGTATTACTAAGTGGAAGAAGCTAATGGGTATACAGCCACATATAGGGAGTCCAACCCCATGGTACTGTATAAAAGGCAAAATGGTAAAGGCAGTAGAAAACATCAAGGGTTGCCAGAGACTGGGGGGGGGGTGGGGGGGCGGGGAGAAGGGAACCAAATCATAAAGGATTTTAGGGCAGTGGATCTGCGGTTAGGATATAATGGTGGACACATGTCATTATACATTTGTCCAAACCCACAGAGTGCACCCCACCAAGCAGGAACTCTAATGGAAACTATGGACTTTGGGTGAGGAGGATGTGTCACTGTGGGTTCGTCAACTGGTGCAAACGTACTGCTCTTGAAGAGGACACGAACTGTGGGTGAGGCTAAGTACGTATGGGGGGGGAGGGTATTATATGGGAAATCTTGATCTTCCCCTCAATTTTGCTGTGAACCTAAAGTTGCTTTAAACAATAAAGTCTACTTAAAAGAAAGAAATACCAGAGAATACTTGGAATAATCTTGTTTGTTACATTTCAGCCTAAGGGGAAGGGGCTAAGGGAGGAAAAGGACACCCACCAAGGCTTCAAATGGAACTTTGCTCAAAAAGACAACCTGAACCAAAAAATAAGGCTCCAAACCCTGATAAATTCCCATAAGGCTAATGACATGGATAATTCTTCAAAGCAGCCTTACATGTTCTACTAGTTGCTAGAGAGTTGTATAAAACTCTACTTCAGATAGCATTCAAATTTTGGTATTATACTCTAAGGCTGTACATTTTCCTAAAATACCTCAGCTACTTTCAGAGCAGCAACACGTGTGTCCTGATAACTCAGAACTCTGGGCCACACTGGTCACTCTCAATAGCTGAAGCTATAGGAGCCAATGAGCATTTGGGTAAAAATGTACAGACATCAGGACGTATTCTAAAAGGGATGCCTTTAAAAATTGAAGCTGATGGTCGTTTATTCCTTTCTCCCAAAATGAGAGATTTTCGTTGTTATTGTTGGGAAAAAACCCCAATTGAAGCCTCTGAATACTGATGGTCTTTTTCAAATAGTATCGCCATGAACAGCTGGGTTGAAGTTGTATTGGGGGCAACTACTTCTCAAGCACTGAAGTCTGGCAGAAAAGCTCACCAAAACTTAGTAGTCAACCCACTAATTCCAAACCTAAGTGGATTATCATTGTGAAAATAACTCTGGTCCCCAGGCCTCCCTTGTGATCACAGACAAGACCATGGCTCTGAGGCACAGCTGGGACAACTGCCACAAAGAAGCCCATGGCATGATTCCTCAAGCAGATCCTAAAATCATTTGCCCCTCAGACAATGGTTTATAAGGAACCAGATTTTACCATCCCACTTAATGCTCCAAAAAAAAAAAAAAAAAAAAATGGAATGTGGGAAATTGAGATGTTTCAAGAAAACCAAATAGGAGATTTTCAGGACATTTTATTATAAAGTATTTGTTTTCTGCTCATGAATTTGATAAATATTCATCATGCACCACATCTGTACATGGGAAGGGAGAGAGTCAGACAAAGACAGGACTTTCTCAGGCAGAGAACAGAAGCCAGGCAGGCATAGGTTTATAGGAGTGTGCTCGGTGAAGAGAGCAGACACCCGAGTCGGGACCCTGCGATGTATTTACTGCTCCCCTATAGGCTCGAGGACTATGCCTAAGTCAGTTAAGCCACATTGTGTGGTCCATTTCCTCCCTGGCTGAGCTGTGATTAACACCAATCACCCCACAGAGATGTAGGGCAGCCTAATTAAGCTACATTCACTGATTGCAAACCTTTCAAGGGTCTCCGTTGAGAGGTACTTAGGAGAATGCTAGTAGGATTCCTAACCATTAGAGTTTAACACATCAAGTCTCAAGATCATAAGTACTTTCAAACACATGCAGCCAAGAGATGCACACCACTTACCACAGTAAGTGTAGATATGGTTCGACTCCAGAAAACGGACCTTTAAATTATGCAAAACTGCAGGCTCGTGTAGATAGCTAAGGGCAGTTAGGTCATTTTCTCCCACCAAGATATCTGGATTCCGCAAAAAGGGCAGCTGGTTGCCTTGGACATCAATGGGGTATTCCCGAATCTAAAGAAATTCAAGTAATAGACACAAAAAGGCAGCGTTATGAACCATTTAGCCTGCATCCAATATCCTGTCAGAGTAGCTAGGATCACTGTCCTAACATGATCATACATGATGAAGATAGACCACCTTCTTTTAAAGATGGGCAGACTGAACAAAGTACTTGTGTTGCCCTAAGACCAGCCCAGGAGGAAAATTTGCCGGTAACAGAAACTCAGTGTATCAGGATAAAAGACTGAACGACATGAGAGATTCAGGAAGCACACCAGGATATAATGACATGGTCTACTGGCTTTTCAAAGTTTAGATACTTACTGAGTCTTGAATCTTGAAGAGGCACTGCTCTTTCTCCCGTGCAGCCAACCTTCGTCCCGTTTAATGCTGGTGCCTTCCTCTGCCCCATCATCCAACATGTTCTTTTTTTTGAATTGCCTTTTAACTAACTGCTCTCCACAAATGCCCTCCAGCTGTACATATACTCTTCAACAACCTGACAACAAGCTACTTCTAGGGCAGTAATCTTATCTATATGTGTGTATAATCAAGAAGTCTCAAATGCAAGGTGCTCTTCTTATATTAGCATAGCAGTTGGACAGGAGTACTCAATGATGCTTTTTGACAGGTTATATTTAAAACTGACTCATGTACACACTATTATATTATGTACTATCTACATAATAAAAAGAGGATGCTCTTTCTTGGTATTTAAACAGGAGAATCTTAGCTATGGTTTATCATGTTCTAAGCTCCTTATGGTGTTGTTAAAAATCCTCTAAGCACTTGTAAAAACAGTTTCCTCAAACACTACTTATAATGTTTAGGAGCCCTGGGGTGGGGTCCAGGAATCTGAAATTTTGAAAAATCCACAAGTAGTTCTGCAACAGGTGGCTTATAGATACTTTAAGAACCACTATTCTATAAAAGACTTTCAGGAAATTCGATGGACTTGGCCTCAATTTAACTGGAATAACAGGTTTTTAAAAACATAAATGTCAGTGTTCTCTCCTATTCCTCCCACTTTTAGATGGTCATGCACAGCCAGATATGAAGGTATATTATAGCCAGCAAGTATAGTAATGGTGGGCTGAGATCGGCAGCAAAGTGAAACCTAGTAGCAGATCCAGAAATAAGTGTAAGCACAGAAGGAAAATTTGTTCAGGATAATGCTGAAGCAAATAGTTAAAAAGGAATTTCCACTATAATAGCAGATAAACTTGAAGCCTTTTAGGAAAAACAAAAATAGAGCTAGTGTACTCATTCCCTCAAAGATCAAATTAAGTTTTAGGTAAAACACCAAAAAGAAAAAAAATCAAATGAAAAAACGCACTGAAATAAAAAACAAAACAACAAAATGTAGTCAGGTAGTTTCAAGAGCTTTGGAAGGAAGTACTTTTAGAGGATGACGCAAGAAGTATGCCACCAAATTTTGTATTTTGAATGTAAATAGAATTTTTAATCCATCATAAACACACTGTATGCAGAGTGGAGGATGACGATTCTGCATTACCTAACTAAATCTTAATATCCAAAGTTTTACAAAGCCAAAAAGAACACCAACACCCCAACAGAAAATTATGCACAGGCTAAGAGCCACAAGAGGAATTACAAAGGAACATGAAAAGCTATTCAGGGTCATTAACCAAACAGATGCAAATAATGGATTATTAGCACTATTTATCACATAAGCAAAGGTGTAAAACCCTCTAAGACCTTAAATATGATGTGGCCCAACAGGTGTACTGTTCGTGGGTTCAGATTAAAGGACCTTTCTAGGGGACAGCTAGCAACACCAATTCTGAAACTTTCATGAAAAGACTTCTGAGCTTCTGAAGACCATCTTACAAATGAGCAAAGATATCCACGATCTATAAACAGAAGGTAAAACATGACAGACACCTGTATTTACAGACAAGCAGCTCCTCACAACATCCTGAATTTACAAAGAGGCACGTTGCAGAATGAAATCTAGGTTTGTTTTTTTTTTTGAACTCTATAGAAGGACATCCCCGCAAATTATGAACAATTACCCATGCTAGTGAGGTTTCCCTCGTTCAGGTTCCTGTCGAGGGTTTGTGTGTTAATCAAGGCCCTTCTCTTTTTTGCACAAAGGTCTTTCATCAAATCGACTCCATGCAGGAGGCCAGTAAACTATCCTGAACAGGATACAGACAGAATTTCCAGAAGATGGGCAACAAGGGGAAATGGAGTGTGTGGAGATTTTAAGTTCCAGAGGTGATGGCCCCCTTCATCGCTGGCTGAGTCACTGGTGTCAATGGGACTCTGACCCGACCCTCCCACTCTGAGTCTTTCTGAAGACTTCACCCACGGAGATGTGTGTCACCCCCATGGAAAGGAGCATGTTCACTCTGCATGTCCTGTTGGCTCTCCATTCCCCTCCCATCCCCGGTACCCAGCACAGGACATGGCCAAGTGTGAAAGCACAGAGCTTACCTAGCTCAGCCCCTGGTTTCTCAGATTAGAAAGCCAGTGCCTGAGCACAGGGTCTTTAAACCCTGAGACAGAAATGCTGGTGTTTCAGTTTTCCTCAGATTTCTCTTTCCCTCAAAAACTCTCCCAAGTGCAGAGGGAAGAGCATATGCAATTTCGTGAAAATATGGCCCACAAACAAGCCAGTGGCACTGGTTACAGTGAAGCTGAGACGTAAAACTGCCCAGAGCAGCCGCCAAGACATAGGCAGGCAGACTCGAGATTCAAGGTGCAGATTTTGTGGGTTGTGTTCATCCAGAGGAAAGCTGGGAATGAGAGACTTAAGGTTTTTTTTAAACAGGATTTTGATGGGAACATTGCTATTAGTATTGAGCTTTATTTACAGCTAACATGGTTTTACTTGAAATCTAAGCATTTAGGACATGATCAGGGACCATGAACACTTTCTGGCACAAAAGACTTCACTATGTAACAACAAGGCCTCTGGAGGTGAAAAGGGGGCTTAAGGTTAACACTCATCACAATACTGAATTCTGTCACCCATCTGGAAGGAACCTCAACCTCCCCCTTGAGATTAGGAAGAGATGGGCCTCTCAAGTCAGTCCCCACCTAGCATACTGGGACTAACCACAACTCGAGAGTATAGAGGAGGAGGTTAGGAGATTAGTCCACACCTGCACTTTCCAATAGGGGAGCATATGGAAGTTACATTTGTTGAAATGAAGTACAATCAAAACTTCTCAGGTCTCAACCATACACAGTCACATTTCAAGGGCCCAGTGACTACCATACTGGACAATACAGACAGACATCCACTGTCACACAATCATCTTTTGGAAGGTATTGGTACCGATCACTCTATAATCTGTGGATCTCTGGTTTTAGAATACTTAGTAGGTGCTCAAAAAACATTAGCTGAAAGGAATAACTGATTTTTTCATGACCTCTCTCGTACTAATTCATATCCATGTTACACAGAACTATATAAATAGAATATAATCATAAAAACATCTTTGAATGACAACTTCCACCACAAAGTTTTGGAGCTAATAATCAGCAGACATGGTAGATAAAGGCAACTTCTTGCTTGTACTCTACCCATAGAGCTAAGACATCCAGACGAAACAGAAGCTAACAAACATACGGTTACCAACTAGCAAGGAATTGGGGTTAACCCAAGAGCTACACACGTCACCCTCTAGTGGTAATGGCACCCAACTAGAAGTCAAAGAGGGTAGATGTGGGAGCCCGACAGTGACCACAAGAAAACGTGGTTAGGGACGCAGGGATGTGCCTGCACACGGGGCTCCCTGCCTGGGCAAAGCATGCCTGCAAACAGGATGCTCTGCCAGGAGGCCTGCACACAATATCCAAGTTTAATGGTCCGCTCGCAAACGAGGGAACATGCCCTCCTTAGAAGTAAAGAGAAGGCTGGAATTGTGGGCAGGCCTCTTAGTAAACATGTTGTGGTCGCTTCCTCCCTTTGCTCCCCCCGTCCTTGAAATGTGTTTGGCTACTTGCCCTTAATTGGTAAAGGAATGCATCTTGTAGATTTCAGTTTGTATCCAGTTACTGGGGTATGAAATAAACCGCAAGAGGGGCTTGCGTAGAATTGTTTCTCCGGCCGGAGTTGTGTCTGTGCCTGTCTTTTGTGTGTGTCTTGTCCTTTGTCTCATTTCGTCCGCAACAGTAGAGAATCATGGAGCATTTAGGTATCCTCTCTACCATGGCAAATATTCCTGCTTTGTAAAGTCAGCAAGAAACTCACACGTAGCTGCCCAAGAGGGTTCCAAGAAGAGTGTGGATTTGGAGGAGTGTCTAAAAGGGTGCCATGAAGGTAGAGTCAAGATCTCACTAAATCTCTAATGATTCCTGGCCTTGACCTTTTTACACTCTAAACCTGATACACTTCTGTATGTATTATATCCATTACAAGGGAGACAAATTTCCACAAATGCACAGATGTATAACCAGACCCTGGCATATAATTGCTCAATTGTTTTTTGATGAATAATGAATGATACAAGTAATTAAAGAAAGAAAATGGCCATAAACAAACTTAGAATTAAGGAGTTAGAATTTTAGATGTGCCTGGGTGGCTCAGTCAGTTAAGTGTTTGACTTCGGCTCAGACATGGTTGAAATTATGGTCCATGGGTTCGAGCCCCACTTCAGGCTCTGTGCTGACAGCTCAGAGCCTGGAACCTGCTTCAGATTCTGGGTCTCCCTCTCTCTCTGCCCCTCCCCTCCTCATGCTCTCTCTCAAACATTAAAAAAAATTTTTTTAAAGAAGTTTGAGTTTTAAACAAAACTACAAGCAGGATAAAAATAAGGAGTCCAGGTTCATCTTTTGATTGCATTTTGTTGCAGGAAACACAGCTGACACACTCTGTTAGAATCATGGGATCTCAGTATGACTTTTGACTTGGGATCTCTCAGCAATGAACAGTCCAGACCATCTTCCTGCAAGGGTTAAGTCCAGGATTCCTCAGCCTCTACCATCTTTACTTAGGACAGGGGGTGCAGTGGGTGCTGGCCACTCTGCACAATTGGATG